ATCTATAACTTTTCCCTGACATTAAGGCCTTAACGCTGTCCAGTCATTGTGTAGATACACTGGATGTAAAGGTCATTTCATCAGCTACTGCTTTTTTATTGTCTCGGTTCTTATGAAAACATTAATAATGCAATGGGGGAAAAAAGAAGAAAAAAGTTTCTGTCTTGAGTTAGAAGCCAAGCACCAATTACCGATCAGAGCATCATCATGAATCCATGCAATTAATTATGTTTCCACATAACAACGTGTTATTGTTTCTTTTTTAAATCAGCTTACCTTGGCATACAAGTACAAGTTCTATATCATATCATTTCTGCATCATATCATATTCTGGAATATTTTTCTAAAATTCTCCAAGGGGAAAAATGAGGTTATTTTTAAATTTTCCAGATGTTCCCAAATTCTGTGGCCCACGGCATAATGCCACATATATTTTAAGAGAGCCTGTTACTGACCTTTTCGTTTCTAGTTATGAAGTAGACTAGTAGGTGAAATGTTGTGTACTACACTGGGTAGTAATTATGTTTCACTAATTATTTCATAAGTGACCCTGAAAGACATCTGAAGGTCAGAAGAATGGGGGGGGGGACTTGTTTTTGAACAGTTTGTGTGACCTGACAGCAGATATATTATGATACGATTACACTGCCCTGCAATACAGACTGGTTATACGGTGGTAGCTATTGTTTCACTTTAATTTAAATCATGTCGTAAACATAATATACCTTGGACTCGATAGAAAGCACTGCTTTGATGGGCAAGATAAAAAGTAGGTTGTACATTATTGTACTTGATAATGGAATTAAAATTGGTCTGGCAATGGAAACACTGACAGCTACCCTGGGGGTCAGCACACTGCTACAACGCTGCAGGCATACTTTCCTGCTGGAAAAGGCATTCATGCCTTGAAAAAATGTTGGTGAAAGAGAACTGCCTCGTTCAGAATGTGCATGAATCATATTCTGAAAAGCAAGTCATTTTTTGGAAGCCTGCAGTGTTTAGAGGGTGGTTCATGCAATAGGCTATTACATGAAAATAAATCCTGGAACCTACAGCGTGAAACCCTGTGCACAGACTAGTCTCCATTACATTTTGAAATGAAGGAAGTTTTTCCATAGTGCTGGAGGCCAGAATGATTAACGTGGCCAAAAAAAAGGGCCCTACCTCAAACCAAATTACAGAGGTGCACCAAATTACTGCTACCGCTGTGCCAAAATACCTAAGCTGCTTTTCTTAGTCGCAGAACTTGTTAAAACACAGCCAGACTAACTGAGCCGTGCTTTAAGAAACGAGAGGCTCCAACTGCAATTAAATTCTGGCGTGTGCATACTCCGTCAGTGACACTGAACACGCGCGAGTGGCCAAATAAAGCTTCGCTCACTCTATCCTTTCCCCACCACTTGGAGGGCTGTAGGAAGAGGTGCAATGGAAAACCTGAAACACATTTTGATCCTTTCAGGCCAGGGGTCTCTGCCAACACATACAGAAGCACAACGGGTATTCTGGCACGTGCTAGCATGACAGACACGCACAAAGACACAGATCGCACTTATATGTTTACTAGCGGGTCTGATTTCTTTCTCCGTCTATTGCTATTCAATAGTTTCCCTTTTCTTTGTAGGGTTTGCCATTGCATCCCGTGCAGTTATGCGATTCTTGTCTAAACAGGCAAGTTGCGAGGGAGGATACGAGTGATAACTGATAAGCAACAACCATTGAGTCGTGTGACAGCAGTTACTCTACACCAGCAGTTCTCAAACTTTTTTCTCCTTCGCGGACCGCTTCAACATTGCTGGGGGTCTCAGCGGACCACTGAATAAACTTTTTTTTTCTCCTGTTCTACAAATCAAAGCACGCGACTCCTATTTTAATATCAGCAGTCTTACCTTCCTAACGCCACGGAGGTACCTGGGTTTTGGGGCAAGGCTCTGGGAAGTTGGGCGCAACATTCGGCAGCTTTAGCCTTAGGTCACCTGCGTGCGGACCACCCCTCCCGGCCCCCAGGGTGCGACCCTCTGCTCTAGACGGGTGCCCGGGGGACGCTACCGAGGGCGCCCGCCTGCCTCTTCCTCGACACCGGGGCTCCAGCAAACGCCCCGAGCCTCAGCAGCCGCTTCGCACACAGGGAACCTGCGCCTTCCTTCTTTTTTAAGTAGCGATGGGCACTGGAGGGCTGAAGTCTGGGGGGCCTCTGGCTACCTCCAGCGCCGCCGGGGTGTCACGACGCGCCAGCGCAGCCTGACGGGCTCTTTTCTCCGGAGATGCCCGGCCCGGCCCGGCCCGGGGGTCTTTCCAAATGCCCCAGGCCAGGCAGCCCTTGCAGGCCGGTTAAGTCTTCCCGAGCGATGCTACTGGCACTGCCCGCATTTCGGCAGTTCATAATCAGCAGCTGGAAATGCCCCAATGACTGCACTGGGTGCTGAGCACCCCGGGGAGCACCGCCCTGCCGCGCCGCTACTCCCCCCGCCGCCGCCGCCGGCTCCGCGCC